ATTCAAAAAGTAAATTATTCATTGAACAATTTAAAAGGAATAGAAATGTTGGTTTGTTTATCAACAAACCGGTTGGTACGACTGAATATTCAGACATTTCATCGAATTGCTGGTCGAATATTCGAAAAGTGAATTATTTAAATTGACTCAGCACTACACCCACCCCAATTTCGATTGAAAAATTGTTTTTTGTACATTCAGTACAAAAAACATTCACCAACAAATTATTCTCGTTATAGCGCTCTCTGCATAATGTTCATCTGGCTCTTTTGCATCCGTGGCTGTTCTCACATTGACTGTGTGAATTTATTTTTCGTTACAGTGCTCTCCTTTTTACAGCACTTTCAAGTCCAAATACCGGTATCACGTCCCAGATAAAAACGTGTAAAGTACTAACGTCTGCTGATTTTTTGGTATTCATTTATTACGCAGCTGCGCATCAGCTTAAATTGGTTGCCTTCATGGACCCACTCCATGAGCCCGCTGAGGGTCCAACAGAAAATCAGGCTTCGCTAAACCCTGAAAAAACATGTACATGTACGTGCACTGAGAGTCAACGTATAAATACATGTATATGAAATTAAAAAATCAAAATCTGAGCAATCAGATTTTGTTGATTAACTCGCAAAAATACTTCTGATGTTTTTGTTTCATGTTTTCAGGTTGTAGAAATTTGGAACGTGTCATTTTGTCAAGGGGGGGTCATTGGCTCTGGGCCATTCTCTATAGTAAGAACCAGTTAATTGTGCACGCCTCTCGTGTGCTTCCATCACACAGCTTGCACAATGCAAGTTGTTTCATGCTTGAGTGAAAGCCTACCGAGCTTGTAAAGTACCACGTATGACGGCCATTTTATATTTGACTCCCTGCACCTTCATTTACACCATAATGTAGGTTTTCCCGGCCAATTTCGGAAAATGCACTGTTTCATTCGTAAAATAAAAATTCAATTTGGCGTGGATTTTGAAAACGACTTAAAACCTGGTTTAATTTTCGCAATACGAGCATTCGACTTCGTTTTGCATCCTTCAAATGAGTGAGTGTGTATTACGGTTCATTTAGGAGGTTACAAAAGTGATTAGGATTTTGATTTGACGTATTTGTTGCTAATTGTAACCAATGTGCAATCTCATGCATTGAAAACCTGTCTTTTACCATAAACCATCGGTATTGAGTATTCATTTTCATTGCTATACTTCAAATTCACAAATTTGTGTTCAATTTGATTAGGAATATACAGGGTTACAGAAATCATCACCACTTTGATAATGGATGTAGTGTTACTCATGAAGAATTATAGTGTGTTTGTTATCAAACTGTACACCAATTAAATCTATGATTTTTCTGTATCTTCCCGTTCAGCCACTGCAACAAGGCCATGTGTGAACTTTGACTGTATCAAAAACATAGCACGAGAAGGAAAGGTTACCTCAGGGTCGGTGTTTGTATAGGATTCGTATAACAGTCGGTATGTTTTTAAAGACAACATGAATGGTATATTACAGTCAAGAATATTCAAACATTTAGCCATTCAACTAAACACTTCTAAGATGTAACTTATTCTTTGAAAACGAATGCTGCCATTACTAATTCATTTATGCATTTTTTCGAAATTGCCAGGAAAACCTACATTTATGAAAAAATTTGTACAGTTTTAGATGACACGACACGAGTTTGCCGTCAGATTATGCCATGTATGCTGTACAATGCAGTTGGACCAATGTTTGCATTGGTTTTATGTGATTACATGTACATAGGTTTTCAGCATTGCTTAGATATGCTCAAAATAAGGGCTTCAATAGCCTGTCATCTTCCTTATTGTCAAAGGCTACTGTCTGCGTTTCTCCACAGAAAAAAAAATGATTAAAAAAGTAAAAATATTGCAACCCGAGAAGTAAAAACATATTTCAAAAGGAGTGGAGACCTAGACCTAGCTCTAGACAACAGATTCAAATGCAGTGAAGAAGTCTACTGAAGAACATCCTTCACCTGTGGAATTTCACACCGTACATGATAGACGTTAACAGGTCATTCTATCTGTAACTTGGATCGAAGTTGAAAAATTATATATGGAAGACATATGGAACACTGGCATGGTGCGTATAGTTCATACAAGTAAAAAAAAAAACGATTTCTTCCTTTTTTAATGAAGAGTGAATTTCAATTTTCAATAATTTACCTTGACCCATCCGCCATTTTGAAAAAAATCAAAATTCAAAATTTTGAGTGGTCCCTTTAATACAGTACTTTCAAAAATGTACTATTAATTACACAGTGACTGCTTGGATTGAAATTTGATTAACATTCTGAATAGTTTTTATTAATTTGCTATTCAAACAAAAATATTTGTAAAAATCACTGATGCAAATAAACAAATTTTGTGCAGCATGGTAAATGTGAATGTAACTTGTATGTCTGTTTCTTCAAGGCTTTCCATACCGATTGGAATTTCTTTTTGTTGTTTTTTTGACGTTTTTGGCACAACGCTCCAACTGTGTCGATTACGTAACCAAGTACATGTATTTGCTAACCCTCTTTATATAAAGTCACTTTGGCTCTATGCGTTCATTCCTGGTAAGGTAGCACACCCTGTTAGTGCTACATCAAGAGTTGCCCTCCCAAACCCTGTTTCATAATTCAATAAGTCCCACCTACATGTATCTGTTCAGGGGGGAGTGCACCTCTGCTGAGTGTCTGGTATGCATCCACATTTCCCCCCACAGGGGGTTTTCCTGGCCACTGAGCGGCACAGTAAACTTGCTGCGGCACAGTAAACTTGCTGCGGCACAGTAAACTTGCTGCGGCACAGTAAACTTGCTGCGCAGGTACTCAACATTGAATCGATGTCATAAAACGAATGTTTCTATGGCCTTCATAGCTTGACGTCTGGCAGAGCATCCGTGGCTTTCCTAATATCCAAGCAAGGCAGGTAGACAACACTAGAAAATGAAATGCTTACATGTATTTCTTCCAATTAGATAAGGATTTCACTCTCATCGCCACTAAAAATGGCAGGATTTAGTCACTCTGCATATTATTACCAGGAGCAAAACCGCTTTCCCATTTGATAATTCCAAACTAGGTTTCTCTTATACAACGTTTAATTTAAAACATAAAAAATATTTTTTCTGAGTCAAAGTAGCCTTGTACACCTATAACCATTGAGTACTGAAGATTTGTGATGAGTCGGCAAGAACAGCACTCCTTACAAAAGTGTTAAAGTGAAGTACTGGCTTTGTGTTGTGGATTTAATTACAATAAACAGGGAGTTTCACTCATGACAGATCCCCCAATGTTAACCATGACAAAAAGAGCCCCTTGGTTAGTTCTTTTTCTCCTCAATTTGTTACCTTAACATGGGGTAAAAAAGAGAAAAGAAATTTTCTGATGCAAGTATAGAGGAAGAAAGCTAAATTATCTCCAAACACCGGTTGTATGGTTGCCTCTCCCCACCCCCCCTTTTTAGTGATACTTCTTTATGTGAAGGGGGGGCTTGTGGCCAAGTGGTCAGGGTCTGTGGCTTACAATCATAGGGTTGGAGGTTCGAATCCAGCTGCGGGCAATATGTTGTGGCCCTTGGCAAGCCACTTCACCCCTGCTCTCTCCAGCCAGGAGTATAATTGCCTACCAGCATTAGCTGGGGAAGCAATCTACGATGGACTGGCATCCCATCCAGGGGAATAGAAATATTTTCAGTCATACCAAGGAAACCAAAGATAAACACCGGCCTGATGAGCCAAATTGTCTCCAACCAGGCTTGCTTTTTTCTCATGTATATGCAAGATTTTTTATTTCATATAAACAATATTAAGAGAATCCTTGAAGAGTTTCAAGCACCTTTAATGCATCCAACACTGCCCCTTTAATGTCTACAAGAATACTAATTACCCAACACACCAGCTGGGAGGGTGCTGATTGTCACTGCACCCCTTTCTGATGAATGTGTCTACGTCTGGTCTGCCCACTCGGAACTCCACAATGCATGCGATTGCGGGTCGTTTAAAAAAGCCAGATTGCGAGTGGCCCCTGAACATGTGTAATGAACCACACCACATGGAGGGAGGCTTCAACTAAAGTGAAGGCTGCACCTTATTGATATAGGTTGTTACAAAATGGATGATTTAGGGTAATTTGACATGACAGATTGGAAACCCCATCCAATCTCACAGGTAATTTAACTGAAATAATATATTCACCGAATCGTGATTTCTTTACTAACTTAAACGTTAGTCTGACCTGAGTGTCAAAAGACCTATAAAACGACACTGCTTCACTCTTTTTAAGGTTAATCTCTGGATTTATAACCGTCCTCTGTGCATTTATTCATCCCAATTAGTGGGTAATTTAATAGTAAAATGAATCAGCAAACCTGTTCGTACATGCAAGAAACAAGCCAAAACCAACCCTCTTAAAAAAGGCCCTTCAACTGCACAGCAGACTAGGGTTTATGGGCAAAAGAAGAACCGCAGGGATATACAGAAATGGAAATGAATGTAAATCCATTACTTGCTATGAGGGGCTACATCAGTAAGAAAAATGTTCCATAGAAAGAACTGTTTTTAAAGGGATTTTATCAAGGCAAATTAAGGCCTGGAACCTGAGCCCACTACCATCCATAGTATCAATCTCTGTTCTCAGATATTGCAATCTTGGGGGGGGGGGCTAGAAATTTCTGAAACAAATAATTGGACACACCTCTTATAATTTGACTGACTTCAACTGAATACAATATTTAAAAATAACATGGAAAAAAATCATGTGGTACTTGGGCAGGGCTTTTGCTCATCTCTTGATAAGTTTCCATGAAAAAATTGTCTTCTGGTGCTGCCAATGAAGCATAAGTCACAGACAACATACAGAATTTGGTATTAACCTTAAATCACAAACCTGGCTGTTTAGGTCCACGGTGTCAAGTCTGTAAAACAAACCAGTTACATTTCAAATCAAAATATAATTGAAACACTTTGAAATGGGGCATAGCATTAGCACCTAGGACTTACCACCTCTCTTCTCGAGCTACTTGCTGTTCCCACCTTGTAGGATCTCTGTTCTTCAGGAATCTGCATGTGCTCATAAGTTCTCCTCTGACGGATCAGGGAGAGTTCACAGGTGCTACAGGTGAAGATGATATTCCCATTTTCCAGCACTACGGCTCCACGGGGCCGTTCAATCCCAAGAAGACTGGGATACTCTTTGGTACTCAAGGTGCGGACATCGTCCCGCGAAGTCAGGTGACCACAGACGAAGCATGCAAACTCGTGCACAAAATAGTGCCGCAGCCAGCGGTTGCTGTCAGCGAATGCCTTGGAGTCCTCAAAATCCTGCCACTGGGCAATCAGGTTGAAGTAGCAGAAGGTACAGCTGAGAACAGTTCCATCAGCATCGATCGGTGCCGCACTGAGGGCGGGATTACGACTTGCCAGGAAAGGAAAGAAGGGCGTGGCCTCATCAATATTGGTGGTGGTTCTGCGAGGGTATGAGTGAACCTTGTAGAGCCCGTTGGAGTCAGAGTGGGCTCCACACAGGTAGCACACTCCCTTGGTGAATGAGTGGGTGTCGATGGGTGAGCTTTGCTTGTACTTCCCCACGTATCTCCTCTCACTGTGGGGGATACCCTCTGCCTGGTAGACCTTCCACTGCTGCTCCAGCTCCAAGTAGCAGTTGCTGCATATCAAAGCACGGCCATCTGCATCAATCGGCTTGGCCTGGGAAGGCTTTTTAATGTTGGTAAAAAACGGAAAGTACATAATGTGGCTATTGCTCTTGTCTGGTGCCAGCGTGTCAACAGCTTTGACATGCTCGATGGGCACAGTCTGAGCACACAGATAGCAGATATGCACCTTGTGCCTCTTCTCAGCTTGCTTGTGCAAGCCCGGTTCAGCACTGGTGTGAGGGCGGCTCTGCTTTTTAGCTTTGTGTATGCGGTACACACGCTTATCATGGGGAGTGTGGGTGAGTTCATGGGCATTCCACTGCTCATAGAGATCCTTACTGCAAGGCAGACATACTTGAGCTAAGCCCTCCTTGCTCAGGGGCGCGCTGCCCAATGGTGCAGAGTGCTTGTCCAAGAATGGGTAGTAGGGCTCACTGCTGTTGTATCTCCTGGCACGTATGAGGTGTGTGTCTGAGAGATTGACTGCCTTCCCACAGAGAAAACACACGATGTGGTTGGGTGCCCCAGACATTGAATCTTGGTTAGGATCGGTTTCTGAACGGAGATGGTACTTCCGCTGATGGAGGGACACGCTGTCCCTCTCAAACGAGTGCCACTGTCGGAGAAGGAAGAGAGTGCAGAGTTCACACATCAGTACACGGCCAAGGTTGTCTACTGGCTTGGCTCCAGATGGGGCTGGATGGCCGAGAATACAGGGGAAGTATGGAGCCTCTGATTTGGACCAGTGGCTAGTGTGCACAACACGGGTTGATTGCTTGGATGTTGTTGCTCCACAACCATAACAGACAGTCACAGCAGGTATATCCACATCCACACTGTCAAATGAGATCCTTCGCTTGTGGTCAGCTGTTTCTGCTGGGACTGAAAAGCCATTGTCTTGTTTGGAATTATCACTTCCAAGGGGTACCCCTGTTGGAACAGCAGTGTCAGAGTAGTGTGAATCTCTAATGTTCAGCTTGTACATCTCCTCGCGTACCTGCGGGCTTACTTGCATCTGGGGGTCCGGTTTGTTGCTATGACCTCCTCCAATCCCGTCACTACGCTTCAGCCAATACAGGCGCTTAACAATCGGCGTGTTGGTGCTCTCGTAAGCCAGCCATTGCTGTTTCAGGAATGCCTGACACACTTGACAACAGTCCACAGTGCCGTCGGGCCGAAACACGGTTCCAGGTGAAGCATCATGGTACTGAAGAAAAGGAAAGAAGGGCTCACTGGCGTGGGGCCGACTTCTCAAGGTGGTGTCAGCCCCACGTGCACCGCACACGTAGCAGTTTGGCAGCATACGAGCGGCCCGTGAGCGAGACACTGCGGCCGGGGAATGAGGCTTGCCGTGTTCGTCCCTGGCTATCGAATGCGGATGCTTCGCGGACGTTGAGCGCTCTGTGCCCGGCCTTGTCTCACCAGCCATGGCCAGTTCAAAATTTCACCCCTTCACTTTGCCACAAAACATTGAACGGATACCAGACTTGTCCCAAAGATGCAAACACATATCTAGACTGAAAAACCAGAATTTGACAACTCCCTGTACGGATAACTGGCGTGAAATCAAAAAATTACATTCAACATGACAGCAGTCCACACGCTCGCTGTGTCGGCCGCCATTACCGTGTGAATGAATAATATGCTACACTACCCACAATGCACTCGTTAGAAAGCTGATGGAAACATTGGCCCCGCAATGTGGATAAAAAACCAAACACGCGCAACACGTGTCTCGTTTGTTTTCGTCCACATCGTGCACATCCACCCGATATATACATGTATATCGGGCAAGTCCCGGGTGCAGAAATTTGCGGTGGAACCGAACTGCATAGCAAAAGCATGTAATTCTGGCTATTCGACAAATCAAAGTTCAACTTTGCCGCTTTGAAAAAAAGGCATAGCATTATTAAAGTACTGTAGACAACCGCAGCACAATCTAAACGAAGCTCTTTCGAGCCAGCCGCTGTAGAATATTAATATTCTAAACACGAAGAATAGCTTTGTGACCAGCCGGCCTCGATTATTGTAATGACAATAATCATAAAACACGTCGTACTTGCATCGGGCGCTTTTCACACTCACTTCCCTCCCTCATAAAGACACATGGTCAGGCATTTGAATTCATGATAAGTCTGCAAAGCTGCATTGTTCCCTCCCAAATAATAATTTATGACAGGAGTACATAAAAGCCTGCCTCTAAATACATGTATCACTACAGAGCAAGCAAGCGAAGAAACGGGCGACCACAGGCGCTGTGTGAATGAACACAAGGCAATAAAGCGTCCGTGGACCGAGCAGCTGAACCAGGTGTCCAGGCGTGCGGCACGGGCAACCGTCATTGGAGTGATACGGTCTGATCGCCTGTTGGATATTTTTGGCAGTTTTACGTGCCCCCACATGCATTTGCGGATCTGGCTCTCGATAATATAAGAACCCCCTGGCCCTTGGAAATTATTCATTAAAGGGGCAACTTGAGTAAACCGCGAGAAGACTGTCAAAAGAAATGAGAATTTATTTTTAACTGCAGTAGAGCAATGCCCAGCGGCCGGGGGTATCGAATGGGTGAGGAGGGAGCAAATTCCTCGGTGCGATATCATAGGACTGGTCCGAGAAAGTTGCCAAGAAATATCACTACGGAGCGGCCAGCAGGTGATAAGATCATCCGAGGTAGGATGATTTTATCGGAGGACATCTGCGCAATCCTTAGAACAGTGACTGCTTTTCACCTCGGGATAAATCCAGGGCAGCAGTGTTTGATATTATTTTAATAATGGCTTCGAATTCTGTTTTGCTTGTGACAAACTTATTCAGGGGGTTGATATTTACACATGTACATCTTTTTCATGCAAACTGAAACACCCTTGTTGCACTCTTCCAAAAAGGGGTACATGATTTGGCCTACCCCTCTGGTAGAAGATAACGAAGAGTCCCTCCTAATGCTCTCCTGTATGCTAAAGCAGTTTTAGAATAATATAGTCGAAGAACCTGGAATTTATTCGAACAATGCCTCTCCTTAAGTAAGACCCTCCGATAACCCCCTCCCCGTTTATCCGTGAAAAAAAACACCTTTCATTGCGGGTAAAGTTAAGGTGGCAGGGAATTATGGGGAGAGAGGCACACCCTGCTAGAGGAAGAAAGTGGTAGAATATAGGGTCCCACGGCTCAATAAAATAGCCCAAATGCTCATACTTGGAGCACCATCAACCTTGCCTGCACAAGACGGGGATAAGCAATCACAGAGTGAAGTTACTCAGTGTCCGAATGCGAGAAAAGGGCCTTGCGTCTTGAAGTTGAGGGGGAAAATCCGGCTTTCTTGGATATTTGTGCACAGACAGAACTTTTACATTTTTGTCGTTGGCAATTGTTTTGATTTTGTGCTTATTCTGAGCACACGTTAATTGCATTCAATGCTATTAGTATCTGAAATTCAGACAATGCGGGCATGTAAGCCCCTTCCCCTCACCCAGGCCCCCTCCAATCCAAGGAGAAACCGCTGGCATTCATGTATTGGTGTGCATAGCACGCAATCGCACCAAGGATTGTACATAGCGCGGCGCTATACAATCTTTGCTTTGCACACTAGGCATGCGGAGCTTCGGTCTCTTTTACGACATGCCAGTTCAGTGATTCGCGCTTGATGGTTCTGCGCGTGCTGCGTAGTCTCTTATACAATGACAACCGGACGGTGTTTAATAGGCTGCGTTGACGCGTTCTAGTTTCTGCAAGCTGTCAGATCGAGACAGTGCTCTGAAATATGTGATAAAATAAAAAATATACATGTATATTTTATATATATATATTTATAATTTATATATTTGTATATATATATATATATATATATATATATATATATATATATATGATATGTAATAAAAAACTGAGTACCTTCTTCTGAATCTGCTTGCTCTGAAGAAGGTACTCAGCTACCGAAAGCTCGATTGAAATTATATTCTTGTCGATATTCTGATCACGGTGCTAGGCAGCTCTTCCATATTTATCAGATCGAGGCTCACCTGGCAGCTTTGGGTTTAACGCGTAACGTTTGCGCTCGTTATTTTGAAGTGCGACCTCTCTTGGTATTAATGTTTTCGTCTTCCAAAGGCATGGTGACAAGACCGCGCCGGCTGGACGAACGGGGGCATGTGATGGGTCCCCATATGATGAATGCATGACACACCATGGCGTACATTCCCAAGCATGCGTTTGGGAGGGATTTGGCCGGGACAGCATCATGAGTAGGCCTTGACTGGGACATGGAGGACCCTGCTCGTCCATGTGTGGAGAGAGAGACACAAGGTTTGGCGTTACGGAGAGAGTTCCGAGGCCCTGCTCTTTGTGGTACAAACCTGTACTAGTGTGGGACTTGTGTGAAAAAATCTAAGTGTTTCCTGAGCAAGTCTTCGGAATTTTCTTATCTAAATTCCACTTTTGCAGAATACCTCACCTCTCCTACATCGTAGTCGGCTAGGATGTCGCCGTTCGTACATGCACGCACAGGGCGACTTTTGTTACCTAACACATCCTCCCTAGGCTGAAACGAATTCCTCCGATTCCAGTGAAACAATGACCGACACAAGGCGGGGGGGGGGGTTCCTGTCCGTCTCATAAGACTAGAATCGTATCTTGCTTCATATGCTAATGATAATCATAGGCTAGGCCTATAAGACTTTTCGCAAATGCTGCATGGGAGATTTTGCACAATGGTAAAAAGGCATTGTGGGAAGGGAAAAAGAGCAAACATTGCCCCTTTTTCCTTCCCACAATGCCTTTCTACCATTGTGCAAAATCAACTGTGCAGTTTTTGTGATATTGAAAGCTTATCGCATCATCCTAAATCATAACTTAGGCTGCAAAATGCCATTTTAGAATTACTGCTCCTGTTCGAATTAGGACGTGATCATTTTAAGGAAAAATTAATGTCCGTATAGCCTGAGGGCCTATGGAACTCTTTCCGGGATGACTTGGAGATGTATTTGTAGGATGCAATCGGCTGATCTGTGCGTCGGAGATCTTTATGAGCGATATTGAGCGATGCCTGCTTTCCAACTAAATTCCATTTTTTTACAGTCTTTCAAAACCGCAAATTGCATTGCCTGATGGCACAGTTGACAAATTGTACATTACTGACAGAGTCTGCTGGCCTGCTTAGTTGTGGAAGAATGTCGCATCCTGCCTCCACTAGTTGCTGAAAAGACTCGAACCTGGAAATGAGAAACAACTCCAGTGTTGTTTCTGTCATGTCTATAGGCCTTGCTCTTACACATGAGAGCTGTGTATAGAGCAGCGCGAACATCCGGGAGTTTCACAAAATCGTGGGTACCAACCACACTGCGCCGATGAAAACAACTGCAGCGAGCGCATGCGTATGTACTGATCAAAGAAAGGATTGTGTAACCCGATCCTTGGACTTGCTGGTGCGTGCGTACGTCGCCATGGTCACTGTTTTCACCGGCACGGTTCCTGCCATTTTGCGGGAATCCCAGTAGTCCGCGTTGCCCCATGAAAACTAGAGCACTGACTTGTGTACAAAGTGATGCTTGCTGGGCGCATCCATGTTAGTGCACAAACCTATGGGAAACTCAAAAGTTTATACGGCTTTTGTACAGCAAATTTGCATATCTGCGTCTGTATTCTAAAAGGATACGTCAACAAAGCCGATACGCAAACAACCTGAACGCACAATCAGTAAAAGAGCATTTCATTTTGCTCTATGCCAAAAAATGTGTGCGTGTATGCGCTGCACATTAATTTTGCTATAACTTTTCGGTACCCAATGCGCATGACAGCTGCTGCTCCAGAGCCCTCAACTCACTTAACACTGACTGAATTAAGGAACGACTTGTTTAATTTAGCTGAACTTATTCATCGAAAGAAAGCCATCGAAAGACATGAATATGAAATTGGACAACCTTGCTCGAATGTTGGGGAAATGTCGTTTTAAAATAATCTGCTTTGGGTGTAAATAAACATGTGCTATTGCTCTGCATGTGTGCGTCTTATTCAAAAGATGCGCTGACATTCACGTATGTTGTACTTGCGTGTTGTAAATACAAACACATTATTTGATACTCATTCTGTCTGAATTTAAATGTTCTATGAGCACACACACGGATTCAAAATATCTGCACCCAGGACGGTGTAAACTTTTCTTCATGCAGAGAATGTGAAGTTTATAGCTCTATGAGCCTGCTTGAAAAATTTTCTGAACTCCTTGTAGACTTTGTACACAGCCACTGACATAGCTGAAGTGGAGTGAGGATGCAACAGTTTACCTGTTGCAGCACACACTGCTTGGCCATGTGGTCACGGTTCAAATAATGAGACTTCTACTTAACATTTATGTTTTTATCAATAAAATGTACCCAGAACTAGCATGACTAGGGATTCATCTTTCAGTGGAGCTCCATGGTCATTGGCCTCGGTTGCTGCGAATGTGGACGAAGAACCCCATGTTTCATAGAGGTAGTGTAACATGATATGTTGACCCTGCCACTCCTCAATCCTTCACCTGTTGGAGGACTGTTAGGGTTAATAAGTGGCATACGTCTACATGTGCATTTAAAAGAAATTGCATGTATTGCTTTGTGTGCTATTTTCGTGTGAAGCCGACTGGAAAACGTAATTGTTGACATAATCACAAACAGCAAAGTTATTAAATGTAATATAATTGGTAACCTTAGTCAAGAAAGTAAACTGGACGCGGGGCTTTTGAATGTTTGTTTTCAGAAATAATAGAATCAGGAAATGCAAGTGCTCTGTCAGTGAATGAATACTGCCTCACACTACAGAAATGTAATTAAGCGTAAAAAGAATTAATTTGCCCTTTCAAATTGTGTGCTTCCGACAGCGATCTTCCTGTTGGAATTTCTAGTTCAATAACTACACACTAATAGTTGCTCTGTTGATTACATGTAAACTCCTCCAGTTGTGGCATTTATGTCTGACCTGCCAGAAATTTGAAGTCCATTCAGCCCCAAAGTACTGTTTGATGGAGTGCACTGATAAGTATGAAAATGACTGAAGCCCAATAGAAGTGTTCAGATGTTTTTGTTTTCTTTCGTTTTCTAATTGGTTTGTTTTTGGCTTTTTAAAAAAATTTATCATTGGTAATATTCCCCCTCGTATATTCGTGTTCACCTCCAATTTTTGTGCCCTCCCTTTGGGAAATACTGGTTGCCCCACCCCATGCCTTTCCAGTAAATGAAAGATCTACTGTAGATGTGCATCGTTTAGGACTTGATTCTGTGTAAACTGCAAACAGTTTTATTTCATTTAGGCCAATGTATGGTGTTTCTGCTAGAGTGAGTTCAAATCCTTGTAATTCATGTATCATTGTTGCTACTTCAGCCACATCCACTCACGTGGTGTGATCACGGAACTATTGGAAGCGGAAATAGTGCAACCGTGGACAATTACCTAGTGGGCTTGTAAGTGGTTGAGCATGCACATGTGATGTAGTCACTAACAAACTGGATAGACAGGGTAAACAGGCTCTTTGATGCCGATGTCTGTAGCCTGTTGATCATGCAAAAGCTATTGGCTAATTACCTTTTTTTTTCCCTGCCACAGGATTCAAAGTGAGGGATGTAGGATGACAGTGTACATGTGCATACATGTACGTGTACATATGGATCTAGCAGAGTACCGGTACATGTACTTCATTTTGTATTGATAGACACTACAATGCAACATACAGTGCACCATTGTTGAGGTTGAACTACATGAACTTGAATGTGCTGTGAACTAGTAACTTGAAGAGCAGGTACATGAACAGACAGACAGACCTTTGAGAAAGGCCCTGCAGTAGATCATTAATTATCAGCAGCATTGTCATCCAAAACTTTTTTCATCATTTGAGGGGATACTGGCGCCTCTCAATTGGTTATGGACAGGTTGCTAGAGGCAGGTCTACAGATAAACGTACGCCAGTCTCAGAGCGAGGACGGTGGCACAGTTGGTTTCTCTCTGCTGAGCAGAGGCTGTGCAAATAATGGACGCCAGAACCAGTGACAGTGCTCTGCCCCAGTACACACTGGAGGAGGTGGCAGACCATTGGGAGGCCAAGTCCTGTTGGATCGTTCTCTTTAACCATGTGTATGATGTCACCGAGTTTTTGCGCAAGGTAAGAAAAAAATTAGGTAGGGGAGGGGCTAAATGGGTACTCGAGAACCAGGAAGATCTACATGTACACTTGAAGATTGGATAAAAACATTGAACAGTCCATTTTAAAGGAAATTAATAGGAAGCCTTAGCTATTAAGGTGTAAGATTAATTCATTGACTTGGTCAGTTTGAACCCCTGATAGAAAATATACATGTGCATGTTTACTGAGGTTTTTTCCTTGGGATGTAAGGTATTGCAACCATTGCCATCTGCCAAATTGATTGTAACCGGGAATAGTTGATCCTTCAAGATTCAAATTCCTTGAGACGGGATCAAAACACCCTCCAAAATCGTGTTTGTTCTTTTGCTTAGTAAAGTGTTGAATCCACTATAGTGGTAGATGCTGTAAGATACCTTTTAATATAACAAACCCCCAAAGTCATGCAGGGACACACAAACATTGACCTTTTCAGATACAGTCAACTCTTGTTATGGCAAAGTTATGGCTGAGGGACTAGAGAAATCAAAGGAACCAGGACTTTCTTATGAAAAAAAAAGGATTCAAAAGATTGGGATTCTTAGAATATACACTTTAGAACAGTATTTTCTTCCAATGGTGCTCTTTAAATGAGAGTCGACTATACCGTATTTTTCGGAATATAAGCTGTGGCTCATACGATGATTCTCACGTTGAAAAACGTCTCTGCGGCTTACACGCTGAGTGGCTTACACGGCAAATATTGGAGGATAAAAATCAGTCACAAAAGCCAGGCCATGCATACCATGTGCTGTCCATGAATGGGTCTGTGGTAGCAGTAAGGCTAGCCTGAAAGCATGTTTTTTCTTGGTTGCGGTAGTGTGTTCGTGTGCTGCGTGCAGCATGGATGCAACACCCACGGTTCCAATATGATGACTTGAACCTTGCGGCGGGTTTCACATTTCTGAAGCGATTTGGTGGTGTTCTTTTGATTGGCATCACAAAAACGGATGTAGTGTTGTGGACAGTTACAGACGTACATGTATTTGCAACATAAACGCTTAATTTTTTGGCAAGAAATCGTTGGCCTACAAAATAAAACGATCTTTGACTTGACTGCCTTTAAGTTATCAAGATTTTATCATACCTCCCCGAGCGCACATAACTTTTGCGGCCGCTTAGAAAAAAAAAACAAGAGCTGTTGCCTGCCCATGCAGGTCAGTCATCCAGCATGCAAAAACGTATTAAATTTGAGGACTTAAAATTCATGTTTGGGATAACACTTGTTAGCACTTTTCTTACATTTATCGGGATTCCATGCATAGTGGAACCATTATTGGTGCACTGTACTGGCGCTTCAGAACGGCGTACCTTAGTGGTTGGATCATCAGCGCTGCGGTGTGGCTTATACGTCGACTTTAAATTTTATTTTGCATGCTGTGGCTTATACATCTGACGGCTTAAATATTCCGAAAATTACGTTAGTCACAACGAACACTGACCTCTCCTTTTATGGTATTGACAATATCTTGGCTGTGGAAACCTGGCACAGTGTTCAAATCATTTAGGCTGGAGCAGGACAATTTTTACAATGGATGAATTTGGTGACCATAATGATGTTGTAACTGGTCACCTCCATGGTCACTTGCAGTTGTCCCAACCGATGGCAGAGTGTATTGTAATAATTATTGTACTGAGCCACAGTTCTGTTAACAATTTCTTTACAAAACCCAACACGACACTCCCCACCATTACAGAGGGTCATCAAAAATGCCCAGTGAAATGTGGCTGGATTCATGTGGAGACTTTAATCCCAACTCCATGGTATTCAGAACAGTCACATCATATAGCCATTATTCCTGTCTGACATACACGTATGATATGCCATCTGGCATCAGAGAGAACAGGGATTAATTGCCCATATTCTGAATATCATTGTGCATATCAGGCAAGACAACACTGGTGTGGATGTGTTCACATTCAGAGCTACCCCACCCCTGCAATAGGCTAATGATAGTTCTTTTCATCAGAGTGGAGTGCTTCTGAAACTGTTGATTTCATTTCTTACAGCACCCAGGTGGAGCTGAGATCCTACTGGAGCATGCAGGTGACTGAAATGAATGTACATGTAGTATGTAGTAGTTATTCATCAATGGATCACCATACCATGCAAAGTTTTCCAAAGGGACGTGTTGTTAATCAGAAATGAGAGCTTGAGTCTTATAGAAATCAGGCTATCACCTGATGGGGGATCATATAACCACCAGTGAAGGCAGAGAGCTGTAAGATTCAACTAGACAAAGGCATTTACACCAGTGTTATGGTGTACCGAAGTGATACATCATGTGCACAATTTGTCAGTGTTTTCACAAAGTGACAAAAACCCAGATAATAATTTTTCCATCTGAAGTTTTTCCTACCATCTTACTTCCTTTGATCCAAGGAACAAATTAGCAGTTTCAAAGCAAAATGCTGTTTACTTTCCTAGTACATGTAACAGTAAACAAACAACTAACAAAACGCTTGGTCCTTGTGTTTCGCTGTTTTCTAAGAGTGACAAAAAGTTACATCGTTAGCAAGGCAAAAATACAGAAAACAATTGTACACATCTATGCATTTGTCCGTGTGTACACTTCACGTGTGTGAATGATGTTTGACATGAACACCTGTGTGTATTGAAATGTAACTATTTTTTCAAGTGCATTTTTTTTTCACAAAGGGAAGTATGGATTAGCATTTTCCAAATCTTACATATCATGACTATGCAAAAAATTCTTCAACCCGTAACATAAAAGTGATCAAAAATATACCTTGAAATGGCTGGTATTTTCAGATGCGTTTATCTCGGAATGTGCGAGAACCAGCATATGAACCAACGTGCGCACTACTAAACTTGTTTACACCACATTTCCTGGTTCAAATGACATCACGCTTCGTTTGCTCCATAGCCGAGTCCATCACAAGTCCATTACAGGTGATTCAGTCTTGAGCCAAATTACACACTGTTCAAATGAACCTTGATGACAAAAAGCTTTCCTCTGTCAGTGGTCACCCCAATGATTGATCTTTTGAAGGTTTGTAAATGACTTGAATGCAACCCAGACATTATGGTAATGTGTGGTAGTCTGTAGACAATGCTGTTATTTCTGAGAAAGAACAGCATTCTCAGAATGCGTCATTCTGACGCAAGCAAGACTTTGCCTCCCAAATATATACACTTCTTTTTATAATAAAAAAAGTCATCTGTGGGTTTTACCTTGACCACCAAAAATACAGTACCTGTTGAGCTGGAACTTACTTTTTCCTTAAGACAAATTACATCCAAATACTTGCTCATTCCAAATGTTACAGGGAAGGACTCTACCTATGCATTTCAAAGCAAAGGTCACTCGGACAAGGCCTACAAGCTGCTAGAGAAATATTGCATTGGCCAGCTGGTCTTAGTAAGTTCCTTTTTTTTTCTGTCAATTTTCTCTTGCATTTTTTGCAGTAATATTTACTCTCAACCTCTTGTAACAATTTTACAAGAATTTTTCCAACTCCCTTGCAGCAAAGCTGTACATTTATCCAACGATCCATTATCTGTGCTGAATTCTTGAAGAGTTTAAGTTTGAATGCAAGACAAAATATAATGTCATCTGTACTTGTGTACTGTACTTGAGGCCCCCCATCATAACATAAATTGATTGTTCTTATCTGACAGTGTGAGCGGATCTATTGACGATACTGCTGAAGTACCCTCTGTTGAAGACTATCACAGAATGAGAGGCAAAACCAAATTAATATATGACATCAAAATATCATTCACCAGTGCAAAGAGACAAGTCTCCAAGGACACAGCATGATCACAGACATCAGACTCCCAGTCCATGCGGACAATCTGTGGAGTCAACTGGGCGAAGCTTTCTAATGGAGGGCACTGGTGAATGAGTAAACAATTTTCTGAATTTAAGAGTAGGTTTTCTGTGGTATTCAAACAGCAGCATCACAATGTTACAACACTGCTCGCGAGTTTTTTGACAGTTAACTGGTATTTTCTCGATAAAAATTCTTGGCTTTGGGAAGACTTTAGCAGTGCTAACTTATAACTCTGTTTTAAGTGGCAGTGTCGTAATGTGGTTGAAGTTTAGAAATTTTGTAATCATTTATCATCTGGTACTGCAACTGTTTCTGAGGTTACAGGTTTCAACAAATAATGCAGAAACTGTTTTGCATTAGCCAGACTGCTGTTAAGTGGAATATAAATTTTGGTTTTATACTTTTATATGTAACTTTTTAGGGTACAAAATTTTCAGTTTTGTAAATTTTTATCTATGAATAAAAGGAACTGTTTTTTACTATTAATTGTATGGTGCAACCAACATTCTTTGTACAGCTGAGCCTCTGAGCAGGCATGAAGACATAACCAATCAAGCTTTAAATATTACCAACTAGTATTTTGTATATTTTGTCACTTTTATCCAAATAATGTGCACCTGTAGTTGAAATCACTGCTGTCTGGAATGCCTGCTAAGTAGAATTATTTTACAGGGATGTTTCTTCCTCAGAACACTATGGATAACATTTAAATGTCTTTTACTAAATACATCGTAGGGGAGACATGTCGTGTTTGAGTATGGGGTAATTGTTTGTCATACAGGGAGACACCGGTCATTTGGTAACAAGCTAAGGTAACAACTACCAGGCTCAGACAAAATTACACTGTAATTGTCACAAATGGGATAGATTGTTAAATCATGGTCCAAAACATAAATACATCAAGTTTGGTTAGGGTCAACTGAGGGGATATTGTGTTAGAGGTCATTAAAGGTTAAAACATTTTACACACGCTCTTGTGGGAATGTCTCCCCCAAGGTACTATCTGCGGTAATTATCATTTTTTTTGTGTTTATTATTATAATTATCATAAAAAAATTCCCTAGTTCCGTGGTTGAAAATTAACATACTTCTCATTGCATACAGTAAGATCTTATTTTGTTTATTTTTTGGGAAAGTGGATTTCAACCACCTCCCAGGATGCCCCGTATATTTTCATTAGTATACCTTTCCCAGTGCTGTGGGCATCTGCCTGTGGCACTAATAATTCTGTGTTTATTGTACACACAGGGTAAAAACTTAGCCATACTGCTGTGGGGTGTTCTTGATGTGCAAATAAAAATAGCAGCTTCTTCTTTCTTTACAGTGCAGTGATTGGATAGATTTGTTGATGAGTTGATGGGCTACTACATGGGGATCACACAGTAGGTGTTTTATAATTTCTTGCAGCATAGCCATAGAAGCCATCTTACGGGAGGGGGGCATCATTGTACATGTAACTCAGGAAGGCTGCATCCAAAAGTTGTGGCTACTGCTGGTCTCACTGGGCCTTCAGAAGCTCTTGGCTGGCCAAGTAGTGGCTATTCTTTCTCATTCGTATACTTACTTCTGCCTCTGTATTACGTACAGGACATTTCCTGAAACCCCCACTCATCGTGCTTAAAGATAAAAAACAGCTTTGTCACGTGTCCACATCCAGGTCCCTTCACTATCCTCTCCATGCATGCGCACCAGTGTTTCTTTAAGCATCTTCCCACTCATTCGTGTTCTCTCGTGTCCCCAAAAAACCACAAAGCTCTAAGGAATTTGCGGGTATAGGTGCATATCGGTTGTGAGAAAGTGTATTTTGTACACCTTTGCTAGGTGTAGATTAGTATTATACACTACTCAGAAGAATTAAAGGAACAAGAAAACAATGGTTTTGTCAAGGTCTATATGGGCTACCATTAGGCCAAGAGGCATCAAAGTTCTGTGAAAATCATTCAGGTGTAGGTCTTTTTAAGTAGTGTAGTTTGCTCTATTGCTGTAGGTGGCAGCTTAAGGCAAAATTTTAGCCCATCTGCGGATCTCTTGTGGGGAGTACTGAGTGGGAAAATATGGCTGACAGCCCACGTTCTACCGTAATGGCAAAACTGTGTTCCAACGGAACATGTCATAGGGTTCTGGGGGTGGATGACCCACACTCACTATGCTTTAAATGCTGTTTTGGTCCTAGTGGGCACACCTGCGATCTGTGTCTGAAGATGGGCAGTTTGTCCTCCGAATTATGGTCTTCTTTTGTTAATGAGGCTAAGGAAAAGAAAAAACAAAGATTGGCAGATAAGGCTGCGGCTTTGTCATCGCAAAGGGCTCAATGCAGCCCCACTAATGCCCCTATGGGACAGTTTGTTGACAGGGCGTAGTTCCAGCAAAGTCTCAAAGACTTTGGAAGACGTTTGACAGCAACCTTTTGCGTGATGACGGTGTTGATTCATTGTTACTTCACCCAAGGCCTGATGGAACTGTTTGAGGACTCTGTGTCTCAGGTTTCTTCCACTGGCAATTTTAAGCGTGGTCGTAGGGCTGCACAAGAAGATGTATCAAGATTCGGTTAGTCAAGTGGGGGTTGGCTCACTTCATGGGGCTGACCTTGATTTGGAAGGATCCAAATGTTGTGGCCAGAGCGAGAATGAATGGGACCCATGTGTTTCAGTATTTAGACGATTTTTTGATAAGGGCTCCGAGCAAAGTTCTAGCTCAAGAAGGAGTCAACAAAATGCTTGTTCTGTTAGAAAGTTGTGGGTTTTTTATCAACAAGGGGAAGTCCAGTTTGACTCCCAGCCAGAATCTTATATATATGCGCGGTCACTTCAAGACCAATCTGAATGTAGTTTGTCTTCCCCAGAGAGGAAGGAAGAGTTGTTACAGTTTGTAAATCATTTTATGGATCGGCGTCAGGCTGCAGCTCAGGAGTTCTTGCGGCTCATTGGGATGATGGCAGCCTGTATAGAAGAAGTTTGCTTGCCAGGCTTCACATGAGGCCAGTTCAGTTGTACCTGCTCCATTTTTGGCACCCGGCCTCGAGGAATCTGGAGGCTTTGATTCCAATCAACGACCATCTTCTTCATCACCTGCAGTGGTGGAGGGCACATAAGAATTTGTTGCAGGGGGTCCCCATGAGGGAGGTTGCCCCAGACAGATTCGAGCGACTATGGTTGGGGAGCCCACGTGGAGAGTCCGTCTGTCCAGGGCCTGTGGTCGAAAATCGAAGTCCAATTCTAGCACATCAACATGAAGGAGTTAATGTCAGTGATGAAAGCCTGTCACCACTTTTGCCACCTTCTGAAGGGCAAACAGGTGCTAATAAAGTCAGACAATTCCACAGTGGTGTCATACATAAACAACCAGGGGGGAACGAGATCTCCCAGCCTTTGTATGGCAGTTTGGAGACTTTGGCTATGGTGTGTGCAGAATCAGATCGTCTTGTCTGCAGTGCACATTCAATGATCCCAAAACAACCTAGCCGACATGCTGTTCAGGCAGACGTTGATGAATTCCAAGTGGAGCCTGTCTCGTTCGGTTGTGAAGTCTCTTTTCCAGAAAATGGGCGAGCCAGTGATCGACCTTTTTGCAACAGCCAGTAACAGACAGCTCCTGGTGTTTTGCTCGTGGGACCCGTGCAGTGAGGCATTTCATGAGGATGCCTTAACTCTGAATTGGGACAGGTTGACAGCATAAGCTTTTCCCTCAATCGCACTGATTCATTTGGTTCTGGATCACATAGAGCATTACAAATGTGTGGTGATCCTCACAGCCCCGAATTGGCCTTGGTGCTCATGGTAGCCGAGAATGTTAGACCTCCTAGTGGATGTTCCCATTCAGCTTCCAGCTCGTCCCGATCTTCTGCAACAGTGGGAGGGCAGGGTATGCCACCCAAGACAGGAATAGTACTGTCTCACGGCATGGAAACTGAGCGCAGACTCCTCTGCCAGGCAGGCCTTTCAGAAGAGGTTACTGACACAATCCAGAGTGACGTCCACTCATCCACTAAAGAGATGTATAATAGGCAGTGGTCAGTGTTTCAAGATTGGTGTGCTTCACGAGATACAGATCCATGTTCAGCATCTGTAGGGGAAATATGCACCTTCCTGCAGTCTTTGCTTGAGAAAGGATTAGCTTACCGGACGCTAGGTGTTTTCTGGTCCTCCATCTCAAAGTTCCATAATGGTCTTTGTGGAAGGCCTACTGGTCAGCATGAAACTATTTGCAGGTTTCTGAAAGGAGCCTTTAACAAGAATCCCCCTTCTCGGGTGTTACTTCCTGCATGGAATTTGGATGTGGTTTTACTGGCTCTACAGCAGGTGCCTTTTGAACCCTTAGCAGAGACATCTTTGCAGTATTGTACCCTTAAGACTGTTTTCCTGATGGCTATCGCATCAGCGAACCGATGTTCCGAGTTTCAGGCTATGGGTCGTGAAGCCCCTTACCTGCGTTTTGAGGCTGGTGGGTTTAAGGGTTCGTTTTGTTCCTGGTTTCCTCTTTAAGACTGCCACTCCACTCCATTTGGGCCAGGATATTTTCCTTGCAGAATTTGGAGATGCCAATTTAGGCCTTTGCGTTAAAAGGGCTTTATCCATTTATGTCAGTCGACATCCTCCCTGGTGGCTGTTGGGGAGCAGCACCTGTTTGTTGCTTTTGGTGGCAAGCAACGAGGGTACCCTGTGTCCAAGCGTACCGTCTCAGGTTGGTTGGTAAAGACAATTGAGGAAAGCTACCAACTTACTGGCATCTCTTTGGCAAACTAAGTCCATGCTCATTTTACCCGTGCCATGGCCACATCCTGGGCAATGTTCATGGGAGCCTCTATTTAAGATGTCATGAAAGCGGCAGACTGGAGAAGTTCGTTGACCTTTGCACGACACTGTGGTCTTGACCTGTGGAAACGAGCTGAGGGCCATTTTGGCAGAGCAGTTTTGCTTCATCAGGATTAGAAGGAGCCGGTGAGAACTATATCTTTTTAGCGTTGTCTTTGTACAATGTTCTATGGTTCAGGTTTTCCTCTTTTTGTTTTGTATACTCCTGCCCACCTCCTTGTGGGCAGGAGGAGCAGTCAATTTAGAGAGGCTGCCTCCCTCCTCCTCTATACTGCTTTGGGAATCTGTCCTATTAGTAACACAGAGGCAGAAGTAAGTATATCAATGAGAAAGAATGTAAAATTTCGAAGAAGTTATGATTCTTGAAATGAGTTTACTTACTTCTGCCTCACTACCACCCTCCGTCCCGGCCTCTATACATAGACTTTTCTCCCTTGGCATGTTTTCAGATGCTGAAAGAAGCACTGGTGCGCATGTGTGGAAAGGACAGTGAATGGACCCAGATGTGGACACGTGACAGAGGTGTTTTTATCTTTAAGCAGGATGAGTGGGGGTTCAAGGAAATGTCCTATATAAACAGAGGCAGAAGTAATTATACTCATTTCAAGAATCATAATTTCTTCGAAATTTTACATTTCCGACTAGCCAGCTGAATCAGGCACAGCCTAAAAACAATTGCACGAAAGGTGAAATCATGTACATTGCTGTACAAGAAGGCTAACCTCTTAGAAATGGCCACTACGTACAAGGTTTGCAAGACAACGAAGCGTCAGATGACGAAAGGGTTGTGCATAAGAACCAGGTACCTGATCATCATAGGAACTAAATCAAGATGATCAAATTAACCACGTATCCTCAACCAAGTTTACACATTTGTAATTTAGGGGACAATGAAAAAGAAAGCTTTTGAACGCTAATTTGTGGAGAATCTTTAGTGTGAAAACCAGACCACCACAGAAAAATCAAATAAGGAAATACGTTCGTAACATTTTACAAAGTAAAATAGTAAAGTAGCATATAGTGTATTGAGCTTACCTTACACACTGCCCAGGCACTGAAGTGTTTGTATTATCACACAGATGCTCATGAAGTATCTGCATATTGGTCTCAAATTTGAAATTCAACTACTGTGTGTTTTTTTTCAATCAGGTACCCAGCTGCTTTGGTAGCACAGATGTACACCCTCAACAACGGCTAAGCCTGATGACCTGCACTAAAGAAATACTACCCATGTACAGTTATCCAGATAGATAGCCTGTCAACCACCTCATACACATGCACATGGCTGATACCATTTGATAAGTTTATTACTATTCACTGAATGCACAGATAAGTGATTTGTGCACACAACAGACGTTCAGTGGGGGATGGTGTCTTCGGTGACAATTTCCAATGCGATGCTCAATATTGTCTGACCATTCATCTGCCTTGTCTTTACAGGAGTAAAATCTTGCATGTACGACTACAATATAGGTTTGCCCAGCCAATTTCGGAAAATGCATGATCTAATTTGTAAAATACAATGTCAATTTATTCTGAAAATGACTTAAAACCTGGTTTCATTTTCGCAGTAACACGCATTGGACTTTGTTTTGCATCCTTCAAATTAATGAACGTGCATTATGTCTCTCTCATTAAAGAAGTTACAAAGATGTGACTGGGATTTCGGATTGACGTATTCCTTGCCAATTACAACAAATGTGCATTCTTATTTGCTTAAAATCTGTCTTTTACAGTGACCATTCGGAAGTGAGTATGCATTTTCATTTGCTCCCATTTAAAATCGCAAAGTATACTTTCAATTTGATTAGAGTATACAAGCTTACACAAATCATGACACCACTTTGATCATAAATGCCATGCTACTCATTTATAATGTGTTTGTTATCAAACAGTAAAAAAAATTAAGATTTCCATTATTGAATCGCAGGACAAGAAGGTTTAATGTGGCTTTTCTTTTTCCATGATTCCCTAAACCTGTCTGTTTTTCTTAAAATTCCTTCCCCAGTTCTGCAAAATGGATACAACAAACCAGATCAGTATGAGCATTGTAAAGAACACGTAGATGGTGATGACTGATGTCTCTTGTGGTATGAAGCACTTGCTGTATTCAAAATGGTCTTTAGAAATTGTGGCCTGTACAGAAAAAAAAAAATACTTTCAAAAATACTCATTTATTTTTTTATTCAAAGACCAACCCCAATGGTTTTTAATGTTTTGAAACTAAACTATTATTGTTTTTACTGTGTAATAAATCATATATTCATTACCAAATCATGTCTGTATTGCATCTGTATTCTTTGTAAGTTTGCCGAAACTTTTGAACGTTGTGAAAAATTTCCACAATCTGACCGCTGGTGGCACTTTTAAGAAACGAAGTATGTATGATGTAAAACTGGAGAAAACATTGAAACTGGTATCCATGGCACAACTGGTTCTGCTACAAACGTACATGTACATGAACATGGAGCTACATGTGCGTGCACCGCGTAATGGGTATCAATCTGTGTGCCAGGTCTACTGTGCCAGCATTGTCTATTTTCAGTCGAGAGTGCGCTCCTTTCTTCGTGATTTACAATAATGCCGAAATCGTGCGTCATTGGTGGATGTACAGTATTAGAAACTCTACAAAAGAACCGGGATTGAAATTATTTGAGATTTCGAAGAATGAGAGCATTCTTCAAGTTCTTGCTGTCGTCCGCGGCTACGCGTGCTGTGCACACCTAAAGCACACGTACTGTGGTATTTCCTCTCCACGGTAATACATAAAAAAAACCAATATTCATTAGATGCTAATGAGTCGTGGCGACACATCCATTTTTAAAAGACCAGACTGGACTTGCCGGAAAAATGGATACAAAAACTGTGTTTCACTAAAACCAAAACGTGTATTGCACGGGAGATATTGATATGTGCCACTTTCATTAGACTTGGCTCTACTAAATAGGATTCAATATGAGAACAGTTAGCATCGTTTGAAACTGTCCGACTGTCTGACATTGTCAACGTAAGTTCATACTCTGTAGAGTGTTGATTCTATCATGGTTAGACTTCATCTTTCCTCCTCTGTCATAAGTTGATGATTCAGTTTACGGACTCTTGTGAGTAAATTAAAAGGCCCAACTGTGACAACTAAAAGAAAAGATCCATCTTCTTCTTTGCACTAACCAGTTCATGCCAGTCAACACAATCTGTGTCAGAGTCGGTGTTGGTGGCGTTTCGCTTACTTTTCAGAAGTTAGCCAATATGTCTCCATTTTTTTCAAAAATCATGCTATCCACTGGTGCTAGAAAATTTGAAAACCCAAACACAGGTTTGAATGAGCCAGTTTACAGCGTACGCTAAAAAACGGAAGAGTCTGAGGCCAGTGAGATGCGTGTGAGGTCTGCCCTATCAGTGGGACCCAACATGGACTAATTTGACATGCCTTGTTCTTGAATGACCTTACTTAAAAAAACTGCATGCCAAGGTCACGACCTACCATGATCAGGCTTGGATTGTTGCGATTACGCCAACTGAATGAAGGGACTGAGAGCTCGGGCACCCCACCAGGATGCATGACATAGCAGCCATGGTGGGCGTGGCCACTGAGAATCATACGTGGCTGAATCCAGGACAGCAGCTGCAGTAAACAGAAAGGTTCATCTTTGCTGTAATTGAGTCACTGTGAGTCAGTTACGAGGCATAAAGTCACAGGTGTGGATCGGGGAGGTCAAAAAAAGAAACCCACTCTCAGAAGGTAAAAAATGTAGAAATGATAAAAAATAACTAAAGTAAGCACACCAATAGCATTGTAAACAATGTATGTCATGTATAATGTTTCATTATCGTTTATGATTGTCCACAAAAATGAGACACTGAAGAAAAAAAATCCATCCAGAGCCCCTCCCTCCTTGCGTCATTGTCCTCAACCAATCTCTCCTCCTCCCGCTGCTGCTATGTAGGTGGGTGTTTGTGTATACAATGACTGACCAGTCCTATGCATGCAGTGCAGATCTTGGCAAAGTCCAGGCATAAATGTTGTTTTGTGACCCGATGATGAAGGGGGCCGATGATGGGCAGCACCATGTTGCGCTTCACGCCATGCCCCCAAGTGGGCTGTCCTGTTGTTTTTGAAGTGTGCGAGGCCTTCATGGCAGATCTTATGCCAGTGAGGCCGGTTCTTGGCCTCTGACTCCCAACCTCTCCAGATTAATCCAGCACGACTTGAGGGTTGACTTCAGGACATCACCGCATCGTTTATGTTGTCCTCCTCGGGATTGTTGTCTTCGCACAGCTTACTGAAGAAGAGCACCTTTAGGATGCATTCATCGCCCATGTGCATGACATAGCTGGCCCAGTATAATTGCATTCGCTTGATGAAGAAGGTGATGTTGCATCTCCTGAGGATCTCTGAGTTGGAAATCCAATCTTGCCAGGTAACACTACACAGTTTCTGTAGGCAGCACATGTGAAATAGTTCGATCTTACGCGGGTGGGGTTGACATCTTGTCCACGACTCGCAGCCGTGAAGTAGCGTGACCAGGACAACTGTACGATAGACTTTGATCTATCATCTTGGTGCTGAGTCTGATACTGCACTTGCACCACAGTCAGTGTGTAACTCGTCTGTAGAACGCACTAGCTTTGCTGATGTGAGCCATGATCTCATTGTCACCTTGGCATTCTGTGAGACAATCCCACCCCAATAGCAGAACTTATCCAGGGCTTTGAGTGGTTCGTTGCCAATGGTGATGAAAGGGCTTGAAGGCAATGTTCCTGGCTGTGGCTGATAAAGCACTTCCGTCTTCTTGATATTGATAGTTAATTCCGTATCGAACGGAAGCCCTGGCAAACTGATCCACGATGAATTGCTCATCTTCTAAGGTGTGAGCGATCAAAGAGCAATCACAGGTGAAGAGTAGATCCCGCAAAATCATCCACAACGTCTTGGTCTTGGCCTTCATCCTCTGGAGGTTAAACACACTCCCATCGATATGAAACCGGATCTCCACTCCTCTGTCACAGTCCTTGATGGCGCCATGGAGCAAGGCGGAGAACACAATGCTGAAAAGCAGAGGGGCCACAACACAGCCCTGTTTCGTGTCTTCGTGCCTTTTCACGAAGAAGGGGGCTATTGATGGGTAGGTTTTTTGCACGGGCTCCCTAAAACCAGCTTCTTCCACGTCTCTGTGGGCAGCAGTGCAGCATCTCTTTTGTGAGGGCTTAAACTTGGAAGTTTTAAGCTTCTCTAAGATGTCAGCCTTGTTCTTAAGGATGGTCGAAAGCATATTTGACACTGGCCTGTATTGGCATCTAACGTCTGCCTTTTTGTGGCCAGCTCCTACAGCCTTGATGATTTCAATCTTCGTCTCTAAAGACAGCCCTTGCGCTTCATCTTCACAGAAGCCGTAGCTAATTTCTTGAAGGCAGATTATCTCTAAGGAATTTCTTGAAGGCAGGTGCGATAGTTACCTCAAGGTAAGTATGATAGACGTATGACCATTTGTGACAATTGCACCTGCTTATATTCCCTCAGAAAAAGCTACAGTGAACGCAGCGGGTTCGTTTGTGCACTTGTTTTCCTCGGTATCAAAACTTCCGTCCCATTTACGATTTTCAAGTCAGGTTCACCCATTGTTCAGTTTCAATTAGAAAACACCTCTTTCAGACTGGCCTGCTGTGACTGAAACTCCTTTGATGCCACGACATTGCGACATCCATTGTCGTCTCGAATAAAGCCCTTTCTAGTGGCACAAGGAATAGAGTCGCCAAGTCATCGGTGGTAAAACCGCAGTGCAAATTACCGAGCGGATTAGCATTAATTGGAGAACTACTACCGCCCTCCATCAGAATTTACTGGGATAAAGCTTTTGAAGAGATAGGGTAAGGCAAAAGTGCTCCTCTTGTCTGTGTTCTCGTCTAATAGCACAGCTCATATTTTAAGTAAGTTTTCTCTCAAGGGAATGTGTACATTTTGAATGGGACTGAAGAAATATGCTCATAGTAAGCGCGATCTCGTCTCAAGCGTGCTCGTGTTAATCACGTTGGACTATATAGTGTTTGTGTATCATCCTAAAAACTACTCACTTGTTGAGAGGCTGTCTTGGATATTACATCATATCTTTCCTTGTTCTTTTCTTGTTGCTGGGTGAGGGTTGGGGCATCAGGCCCTGTGCATTTGGCCTCAGTAGGCCTGTACAAGGGGAAATGCTGCAAAAGTTAAATTATGACATTTATTCTGTAAAATCAACAAAAAAGAAGAGAACCTATTTCAATATGTAAGCAAAAATACTTGGAAAAGCTTAGCTACAGGAGAGTCAACTTGTGCTGGTTTGTCTCTTGACAGACTGTAAAAGCCAAGTGTAAAAACAAGATAAAATATGCTAATTTGTCTTAAATCTACTTACATCTAAAAGAATGTCAAATAACTCATCCAAAAGTCTTCTTGACTGGTTCAATGGTTCCCACTCCTTCCCATAATGAATAACAAGTACTGACGATACTGGCAACTGGACAATATGGCTCTTGTTATCAGACAGAACCTTGCTCTTTCAAAACAAGTTCACATGGAATGCAAATCATTTTTTGGGCAAGTCCAAGTCAAGTCACAAGTCAAAAAATGATAGAAGTCAAGTCACAAGTCACAAAATAGTGACTCAAAACCAACTCAAATCCGAGTCAAGTGACTCAAGTCTACAACTCTGGTACATACCCCTTCAATTGACAGGCTGTCTTGATTTAATACCTACATGTAAAAACAAACTTGCACTAAGTAAAAGAATGCTTGCATGAGTGCAGTGCTACTGCGGTCACAGTCCCTCCTTGAATTAATTTGTAACAGCAAAGGCTTACCTGAAGTAGTATTGGCTTGACATTTGGCAACTTCTTGTATTTTTGGCATCTCTCTTTGGTCTTCTTGCTCTCGTCTACTTTGCCAGTTGGTGATCCGTGCCGAGTACAGTTCAGTTTCTCCGATGCCGAGCGAAGTTTGTCCATGGCCGGGCTGCACATGAAGCATCCATCCCCATGCATGGCCATGCTGTTGACTAGGACAAAGCTGTGGATATATAACCAAATGGAACAAATGCTGACAGTTGACGTTAACATCCACGTGTCAAGATTCCATTACTGTTTGACCACAACTGCCCAAAGCGAAAGGCAAGGGGACCAAAACAATCTCCCAAATGAACTGCATTGTGTCGTGAGCGGTGAATGCAGGGTCATCAAGAGGTGAGATACCCGTGTTTGTCTAGCATTGAATCTTGGGGGCACCAGCATTAAATGTTACAAGGAGCAGATTATAGCATAACAGTTCCTATTCCGAGTCTTGAAATGATTCTACTAGATTCCAGTTTGGAGGTAACCAGCCGCTACTGTACATAGATCTACTGGACACCATCTTTGTAGGAAAATAACAGCTGTGTAGTCAACGCCATCAGGCGCATTTGTACATAGTGTGCGAATGTTCTATACACCCGCGTGTTGATCTAAGTATCTTTAAAATTCGGTGCTGCCAATGTGCGTCACTAAAATTTGAAGTCCAAAATACTGATGCACCTGGCAATCTGCAGGAAGTAGCATCATTTGAGAGAGACCTGTAGAGTACCGAAGTGTGATGTTATTTTGAACCAGTAAGTGCAATGCAAACGAATCGAGTATGTATGCATGCGCTGGTTCTCCTATCAATGTCTTTTGCACAAATTGTACACATGACATATTTATTTCAGTACTCTATAGACAGTAATGATGGGCAAAGACACTGCCTGCACTTACACGTTGCCTTTAATTGTCAGGATTTTGACTGGAGGAATGTCAAAAGTTTCCTGAAAGCGGTCCAACTTGCTCTTAGTGACCCTGGTGAAAAGCGAAGAAAGATTGGAAGAATCTGAGAAGCATTACTCCAAGATCAATTCCAGTTGCTAGGGAGTGGCAGCCAACTTTATCTGCTAAAATCCGTTCTTAAACAGAAATCAACAGTCTGAATCAATCAAAGCACTGCAAAACCAGGTGTTAAATTAGGATGGGTGTTGAATTTCAATGGATGTACCCTGGTAGAAATTTGAATTTAAACAGTACAAACAGTCCACTTAACCATCAAAAATACAAATAACACTGTGTACAGTCATCAATTTACATCTGTTTAAATACACCTTTCACAAAATTTAAAAAAAGTCTAATCACTGATATCCGTGTAATCTGCCTTAACAAATTTGGTTGAATTCAGTAACAACTTTGGTTGAATTCAGTAACAACTTTGGTTCAGTTCAGTGACAACTTCGGTGAAATTGAGTGACTTACCACTCATGGAAACCAATGTCGTGGTTGCCAACAACGACATGGAACTGCACATTTTCTGAGACTCTGAACATTTTATTGAAGCGATCCACTGTCTCGCGAAACTCCTGAGGTGAGGGCAAATAGATTTAACTTATTAAGTCTTGCAAAACAAGAAATTTGGGGCTGAAATCTTAAAAAGAAAAGGCTTCCAGAATTTACTTTTAAATAAAATTTAGACAATTCTTACTTTTATTCCAGAGTTAATAATTCTGCAAATATTTTTTTTTCATTCTTAAAGTGACCATCTTTTGAAGTGATTTTGAAAAGAAGAGCAAATCAAACATTTTCATTCAGTCATCTTCACCTGATCACTGGCCCATTTTCCTTCGTCAGTTAGATCACCAAGAATGAAGACAGCTTCTGGACTGGACAGGGTCATCGCTGTCTGGAATGCTCGCTGCATCTGCCATTCCCTGCAAATGACAACCATTTTATAAACCATCAGAGAGCAAACATTTCCTATAAAGTCAAATTTAGAATGGAAAATATTGAAGCATTACTTAAAACCAGGGTTTCACAGACCAGTTTCACGGTATTTATGCATAGCAGAACAAATATGTGCTTGGCCAATCTTAAACGTGCGTTTAAGACCAGCTGAGAAGAATGGACGCGACTAATGCCCGAGCCACAGGGGAGGGCATTATCAGCATTCAGTCTCCAGAGCCAGTCTTAAATGATACATGTACGGCTGCTGGTCGATAGCATTTTGTAGATCCCTCCCATGATGTGGTTGCGCTCTTGACGACAATGAACGGATAGAATTTGATTTAAAAGAACTGGAAATAATACTGGGTGAATTTTATTGCAATTAGCCTAGGCCTACATGTAATTGCCATTAGCCTAGGCCTAGGCCCTACATGTAAGTGGAAATCGCGATTTCATTGTGGTTTATTACAAACCGCACTTTCGTTGTGATTTAGTGGAAATCGTGATTGCACTGCGGTTTTCAAGAAAACTGCCTAGTACCCTGGAAAACTGTCTATGATGTGCAAAACGCAATTTGAAACGCAAATAACTCAATCGCAATTCATCCACTTAATTTCGGATGCAACTGTAGTTTCAGACCGACCAAGTACATAGTTATTCTCATTCATAAATATCTTTGTAGTCAGAGTCAAAAGAAGTCAATGAATGATGGATTTCCAGCATTTCGTTCTAGAATTTTACTTTCATTTTCCTGAACACCCCCGCCTATTTTACAGAATATTCCTAATGCAAATTGTCCAATTGGCACGCATGCACACAGACTCTTGACCAATCAGAATTGATTAAACTGTCCTGTATCCAGGTGCCAGCATGTGATTTATGCAGCGGGCATTATCATTTCTCAGCGAACATTATCAGTTGTTAATGCATGGTCAAGTTGTACGTGGTTGAATAGGGAGACTGTCTGCAGTTTTTATGAATAAGGTGTTAAGTGATGTCCACGTATGGATCTCCTTCCCACAGCTATCCTTCCAGTGGTCACATACCTGCGTAGCTTATCAAACCAGTGACCCTGCCTGCTTCCCAGCAGGTGGGTGTCAGCCAGGAACATGGCACGCAGAGGAGCCATCTTCCCCTCTCCCGTACCATCACCTGGGGGAAGCTTGGGCCATGAGCACGGGAGGGCAATGAAATAATAGATGAAGAACTCGCAGAAGATGAGGAGTGCAAAAGCGGCAAGGAGGAGGCGGAGAAGATGACGCCCAAGGAGTATCATGAAGAGGGAAAACACTGCAGGCAAAGAAGTCAAGATGGCACTATCAATCCCAGTTACATTTATGTCTTAATATACAACATCACTAGCTGTTGCTCAACTTAACCAGGTCTCACCCAAACTTGATTCTATAGATGCGGTTCATAGACTGGACTATAAGGAGGTAGTCTAGTATATGAGCCACATTCGTTGAGCAACATTCAATGGTATGTATCAGTGGACAACATGGACTCATCAGCCCGATGTCTTTTAACAATGGCCAGCACACTGTGCTTCTCATAAGCCAGCATGATCCAAGTTTCACAGTTACAATGTCTGATTGAAATCTGTTCTGAGACAGAGCAATGTTTATACAGTGTTAGCATGCTCCATCCAAGCTGACACCATTTTGAAGCAGCATGCTTCACCACTCAGCCTGGAGGTCTTTAAGGACGATATGTGATGCACATGTGATGCTAGCCTAAAAAGGGAAAAGACACCCTTTCATATTATAATATAAAATATTATTCTTCATTTTGAGTTTCCAATTTTGCACGTACAACATTCGGTGTTTGACCATGGTGTGCATGTCTGCTGTTAACACCGATAGTACAAGATGATTAAAACAGGGAGTGTTTCATGACATGCACCATAAAGCAGGTACGGTACTACACATGCAGTAAGCCTATGGACTCATCAGTGAATAAATTCAACAATAGAAACGCATATAAGTACACACAACAGACCTACATGTACATCTATTTACATTGTAGGCTGTGGCACCCAAGTTCAGCAAGACCTACAGTAGTCCGATTTAAGGGCCAGTCTACCAGACTACCTACATATACATATCCTTGGCCTCACACTTAAACCGTGCCTTCTCTAAAAGACAGTGGAGAAAGGCTGACATGTGCCAAAAGGCTTCTGGTGAGCCTTGTGTGCATAGTTTGTGCATACAGTAGAGATTTTCCCCAAGAGTTCCATGTAAGGTTGCTTCAAACCTTCGTACTTTGAACCAAGAAAAAAAAAACGACCAAACTCATGCTGATTTTCAAAAAAAGGTTTAAGTATTTACCAATCCCTATCAGTGCCTGAGAGTCACGTGGTTCACATGTGTACTTATGAAGACAAGCCACAAGCAACGGCTGCGATTGATACACAAGATATGGAGCAGCATTTCTATGGGTACACAACCACCACAAAATCCCTGTTCATGCCCAGTTAAACGTCATGTAGAGCCTATGGCAAAAAGGCTCGTCTTCTGAGGGGTTCGTGGGAGCATGGAGCTCCTTTTTAATAGCTTCAATGTGGGAGCTGAGTGGACATTGAACCCCACAGTTCTGGGGGTAGGCTCAGGCCAAGGTTACATCCGCATCCATGTGTTCATACCACATGAACAGGGTGATCATGGTGATCAGGTGATGGTCAAGGCTGAGCCGATTTTCTCCTTTCTGCTACTGTCAGTGAATGTTACCTCAATTCTTGTCAATATTTAGCTCACACATAAACTTTGGAAAAATGTTGCATCCTGACTCCACTTTTATCGTCATATATAATCTCAATAAAACTTAAAAGTCAGTCATTACAGAAATGCTGGAAAGACACGAATTCTGGACTGAGAAACATTTACCGATGTTGTTGTTGGGAAATACAACGTACATGTACTTAGATAATTCTCTTCACTCCCCGTACACAACTGCTGAAGTGGAGTCAGGATACAACATTTTTTTCTAAACTTTTTCATACATATTTCAAACTTACCATCATAACGTGCGAATACCGAAAAAAACCCACAAATTTCTCTTCGATTACTATCTCGTTAGAATTAGAAGCCACACAGGACCGAAGCGCTGCTCTTAACGCCTGCGCTCATTGCATGCACTAGACGCACCGCGTGCGCAGTGCTAGTGGTACACTGCTGGTACATGTATTAGTACTATAGTTCATTGCTCGTGCAGGAAACTCACCGTCTCAAGAGGGCGCTCTCGTCAAGTTGCTGTGTACTCCTATCCTA